GTGAATTGTGCCTACAGTTTTGCAAAGTGTGTGTTACAAAATTGCAAACTGAGTGCAAAGCAGTTTTTGTGCTTTTAGTTTTGCAAACTCAGTGAGTGGTTTTGCTATAAGTCTGAATAGTTTTAGAGATTGTGCTACAGGAATCACAGTTAGGGTTTATGCATTCAGAAAAAACTGTAAACAGATACAGAGTAGGTGTCCTCCCATACCATAAATCAAGGAAAATAAGGTACGACCTCTCATGACCTTAGGATGTGTGTGTATGCCAGAGCACTTTGGAACGCACAGTCTTTGCAGACTATAGATAGATGAGACATTCTATCAATATTCAATCGATTATATACCTCTAAACATTATTGATGCTATGTTTCTAAGTACAAATGACAATCATAAAATATCACTTCAACAACTAACATGATCAATAATTAATAATTCGTTTTTATTTAATCCAATAAAAAGTAAATAAGAAAATAAAAATGAAAATAATGAGAAGGACTTGTTAATATTGTCTTGATGATGTGAATGAGCTGATGCTGAGTGAGTATTTGTCACTGTGTAGTACACGCCTGCTTCCTCACTTTAGCAGCAGTAGTACGATCCAGTGCAACTCCAGCTGCCACACCCAGTCCAGCTCCAACCAGCACTCCTACTGGACAAGCTGCAGCTCCCACAATAGCTCCAATAGCAAGCTCGGTCGCAATCGCAGTACTGACTCCAGCAGCAGCTCCAGCACCGAGTCCAGCAGCAGCTCCAGCAACAGCACCAACCCAGCTGCCCTGGATAAACTTGTTTTTTCTCTCTGCTTCATATCTTGCTTCAGTGGCCATCAGCCCAGGGTTTTTCTTCTGAAGTTGTTCCATCTCTTTGGTTATAGCGCTCTCTGCCTTTTCAAACATCTTGTTGGTGTAGTAGCTTCCTCCATTTCTCTGAACCATTAGTCTGATCTTCTCCAGCAGCTCTCTGACCTGAGCAGGATCTCTGCTATTGTTGTTGTTAAAAACATGATATCCTCCTCCACACTGACGGACGAATTCACGAAGAGCTGGAGTCTTAGTGATGAATTCTTCTATGGAGACATTCAGATCTACATGTGTGAACAACACCATGGTGTAACGAACGGCTTCATCTCCAAACACCTCCTGAAGGATTCTCAGGGTTTTTTGTTCTTCGTCTATAAATATGTTTGGCTGGATCACAACCAGGAACACATGAGGACCAGGAGCAGCCAGTGAGATGCATCTATTGATCTCCGTGTTCACCTGGCCTAAGGTAAACACAGAGTGAAACAGGCCTGGAGTATCAACGACAGCCAGGGTTTGATAATCAAACAGAGCTGCTTCCTGCTGACACTCTGACGTCACTGAGGCAGGGGATGAAGCTGATGCTGTTTTAAAGGCTTTTCCTCCCAGGATGGTGTTTCCCGATGAACTCTTCCCAGCTCCAGTTTTCCCAACAACAACAATCCTGAAGTCTTTTTCAGCTTTTCTCATGGACTCCTTAGCCTCTTCGAACATCTCATTGGTGTAGCAGCTTCGTTCGTTTCCCTGAACCATAGTGTTGATCTTCCTCAGCAGCTCTCTGACCTGAGAGGGATTGTCATCATCTCGGTTGTTAAAAACATGATATCCTCCTCCACACTGATGGATGAAGTCTTGGAGAGCT